TTGTTTAAGTTATATTTTGGAATACAGTTTGATTTCTTTAAGGAATTACAGGATGTTATATGGACAAATGTTATGACAGAGTTTTTCATGTTGTTTTTTTCTTGGTTGATTTCATTTGACAGCATATCAACACCTCTATGGGTTATTTAATGCCGAACTCTAAATATTTTGTATGTAATTTTATGCTCTCAACTACAGATATTTTGTACGTAATTTTATACTTTCAGAGTAAAGGAATATTTTTTAGATATATATTTGCAAATTATCAAATGTATTGTTGGTAATTTTACTATAAATAATATACTGTTGATTGTTTATTGGTTTTCACTATTTCCCCAGAGATGGGACTTTAACAGTTGATACTAAACAGGGTCAGGATGGGCCAGGGAATAATATCAATTAATAGGTCGTTCCATCCTCCTTAAAAACTCCAATCTCCCACTTCCATGCTCTATATTTACAAGAGACAAATCATATCAAAGATGGAGTATTACGGCCATATCTGGTTTGGTTTGGTTTATTTTTTTTTTTTTTTTGGCATATAAACCTTAATGAGTTATTATTGTGAGACCGGAAACTACCTACACAATAGACACTTCCAAGCCTATATTAAGTAGGCGACGTAGAGAGTGACAGAGAGTGACAGTGAGAGTCTCGTACGACTACTAGTATTGGACACTAACATATAGTAAACTTCGCTTACACTATCTCTGTTACCTGTTGTTAATATATGTTTCTTACATCTACTCCGTGTTTTCCTTCTGTGGTCCCAACTTTGGCACCACATCAGTGGCGACGAGGATTCTAGAAACGCACTCACGGCGAAACCTAAATACCTTACCAGTCCCACATCTGTGTCGACGAAGAATTCGAGAAACGCATTCACGTCGAAAACCGTAATACCTTGCCAGTCCCACAACAGTGGCGACAGAAAGATTCGAGAATTTTGTTCTCACCATATCAATAGCGACAGAGTACTCGAAAAATACACAGAAACTCCACGCGTTCCCACAGCAGTATTGAACGAGAAATTAAGCTGGTATTACTACATTAGCGATTTAAAAGCTAAACACCCAGCGTCTACATATATTCCAATACCAAACATCAGTGACGAGCAGTGTTTCGACATCTAAGGAATATTAAAGTCTGTCCAAATAACATTACGAGAAAGATTTCTACACACCCACACACACAGAGAAAAAAACAGTTGTTCGTAAAACAAACTTACAATACAAGAGCAAGTACTACCATTGTACTCAATTTTTCGAACAAAAAATATCGAATTTTTTTTTTTTATGTAACTGAGTTGAACTCGGTCATAAAATTATTCTCCCCTCAAAATCTCAACTTTGGCACCACATCAGTTATTTAATGCCGAAAAGATTTTATGATATATTCGTATGAATAGAATATGCATTTTTTCTATGAAATCATTTTTTTAGATCAGGTTCCATTGACGCATTTTTATAGAAAAAAAAGGATTTTGACGAGAATCAAATGTATTGCTGGTAATATCTTTTTAAAAACTGTATTGCTAGTAATATTTTTTTCCCAAAAATGTATTGCTGGTATTTTTACTATAAGAATCAATTTTTATACTTTCATAGTGTTTTGACCCCGGTTTGTGCAGTTAACTATTTGCCCATAGCTGGGACCCTAACAGGTGCTACCACCCCATCATTATGTCATATTCATGGTATCAGATCATCTCCATTCCCTTCGTATTCCTTTGATGAGGAGTGAATTTCATCTCAGAACTCTTGACCCACTGAACAGACTGGCGAGCGGATTCTTCCCTGTCAACAACGATCTTCTCTTCAAGCCCAGGGCCAACACGTATTTATGATAAGCATTTCTTAATTCCTCCTTCCTTACAAGCTTATTTCTCAATAACTCACTACTTTGAATGGCCCTTGGGATTTGTATCTGAGCCATTTGTCCATACATTGACCATTGCTGATACAGCTAGCCTCGTGCTATGTATTTAGAGATTCTTGATAAAATACAAAGAAGAATCTGAAATATTCGCAGTCCTGACCGAGCATCTCAGCCTCATTAAATTACCAAATGATATAACGTAGCTTCCCTGTACCTTTTCTATAAATATTTTCATACTAATTGTTCTGATGAGCTTTCCTAGACTTCATGAATTTAAGCGCAGTACTAGATTGGCGGCGAGGTCTCATTATATTACATTGTTTTATGCTAATAGTTTTTCATCTAACACTTCCCGTCCCGAGTATAATGATAAACTACATCCGCGTCCTGGGTATGACGATAACCTACATCCGCGTCCTGGGTAAGACGATAAACTACATCCACCTCCTGGGTAAGACGATAAACTACATCCAACAGCAAGGCCTCTGATCAGGAGATTATGGGGAGCGCGGAACCACCTCTAAATTGCTGGGGTGGTAGGACCTTTTATGGTCCCAGCTATGGGCAAATAGTTAACCCCAAACTGGGTTCAAAACACTATGAAAGTATAAAAATAGATTTTAATACCAGCAATACATTTTTGTAAAATGTTATTACCAGCAATAAATTTTTGAAGAAAAAAAAATATTAGCAGCAATACATTTTTGAAAAAAAATATTACCAGCAATAAAAATCTTGTCGGTATTAAATAACTCATTGAGATTGATATGCCGTAAAGCAAACCAAACCAATATAACACTTCTCGCTTGTTGAACTCTCTTCCCACTTGCTTTCTAGTCAACTTTTTCAATGTCAATATTTATCTTCTGTCTAAATTCTGTTCTTTTGGGTGGTAACGCAACAACTCAACTGATGATAGCAGGTAGGAACAAAGAAACCGGTGTCGCACGTCCAACCTTCTCACGAGCCGAAAGCTCTCTGATCCCAAACAGCAAAACGAGCCTGCTTTATACAGCCGAGGACCGACCACGATTTGCATGTGAATGACGAGACAACGAGATTTCGCGTTAACTAACCGAGACCGCCCGGCATAAAATATGGGCGCCGCCATTTTGGTTCTTTTTACCGTTGGGAGGACCAGAGTTTGCACACTGCACAGATTCGCACGCGTTTCCGAGGTAAGCCATTTTCACAATTTTCCCCACAGTTCTTTTATTGTCTTTTCACCATAATAATATCTCTTATTTCTTATATTCTCTAACAAACAGTAGCTCTTTGTCTCTTAATGGCTTTATTGCCTTGCATGGGCTGAAACCATCAATAAATAACAAAGGTGGGAGTAATAAAAAAACAAAACAAACAGATTTAAAAATTGTTCATTTTTAGCTGTCCTAAAGCTTTATTGAATTTTCTCGATGAGAAACCACGAGGCGTGTTTAGTTTCAGTTTTTCTTCTATGTGTCATGTCCGTTCGAGATATGGACAATTTTAGCTCTCCACAACCTCCTAACCTTTATAGCTCTTAGCAATGTTTATATTAGTACAATCCCCCCCAACTACTTTATGCGCCAATATTTAATCACTTTATTCGTTGTCTCCCCCAGTCCCTCTTGTCTTCAACGTGTCCGCTTGTCTCAAGTCTAGAGAAAGGAAATCGTCCAGCATTTACTGTTATATAGCGATTTACTAAGCTTGGTTTAGATGTGGTTCAAAGCCGAATGCATGGAGCACTCAGTAAGGAACTCACAACTCAGTCATAAATGAACCAGCGAGACGAGCTTTCTAACCATTACACCACGCCTAAATGCCCACATATATTGTCGTATAGGAGGATTGATATTGAGCTGTTACGTGACATCTGTCCTCCTTCCCGGCAGCGAACTTTGGACGGTCTTCTCAAAGATGAAGAAGCGACTCGAGGCGACGGAGATGAGGTTCTACAGAAGGATGCTGAGGATATCATGGACCGAGCGTGTGCGCAACGATGTGGTGCAGGCTTATTCTTAACATCACGAAGAGGCAGCTGAAGTTTCTGGGACACGTAATGAGAAAGGAGGGCCTGAGGATATAATTCTCACAGGTCGAATAGAGGGAAAGAGAGTCAGGGGAAGATAATGCATGATATACTTGGTGGGGTGGAGCGAGTGGATGAGAGAACGTAGTCTGGGGAAGGTGGCAGAGGGACAAAACTTATTGAGTGTTACAAAGGATCGGGGGAAGTGGAGAGCCATGATCACCTACGTCCTGAAAGGATACGGCTCATAAAAAGAAAAGAAAATATATTACGTAGCCGTTCAACACTCTTCCCTTTGACTCGAACACCATTTTTGTGCATAGTTTCTGTTTCGGGAGGCCATATTTTTGGCTCTGCCAATGCTTCTTCGAATTTCGATGTCACAATTTTTCGTCGCCTGTTAAAACACATCCTAGATACTTATATTTTCGTATATGATTGATTATTAACAACAAAAATGCGTAACTAGAATCTTGGGATTCGAGGAAACGACAAAATATGGACGTGAAATATGGCGGATGATTTTTCAGTTAAAAAGAACCAGCTTAGCTCAGACATAGGGCGGGAAAATCTCATTTTGCAACACGTCAGTAATTCTACTTATAACAATTGTATTTAACTGAACGGTATTGTTAAATTGTTCCTCTGTACCTTTAGCCACATGCTGTATATTTCAGTGAAGGCAACGTGTGTATTCTGGATGTCTAACCGAGCAAAAAATATCATATCTTTTCACCTGCCTTTTTCGCTAGATATTTGGTAAATTTATATTTACGTATCAGAGTTTTCATCTTCAATTCATGACTAAAATTATATGTAACGCGAGTCTGAAAAAAAAGTAATTCTAGGATATATATATATATATATATATATATATATATATATATATATATATATATATATATATATAAAGAGAGAGAGGAGCGACAGAGCAAGAGAGAAAAGACAGAGAGACAGAAAGAGAGAGAAAGGGGAGAGATAGAGCTAGAGAGAGGGGAGAGACAGAAAGAGAGGGAGAGTCAGAGCGAGAGAGGGGGGGGGAAAGACAGAGCGAGAGAGAAAGACGGAGAGACAGAGAGTGAGAGATATGATATAAAGTGAAAAGCTTATGAAATTAGCTAAATTGTGGCTGCAGCGATATGTGAAATATTTGGCTACTCGAGAATTCATCTGTAAACGCATAGATGTATCTCTCGTTGGATTTCCTTTTAATCTTTGTCGTATTCATTTTCTTATTAGATTTCTACTATATTCACTTAAGCATGCTAGATCGATAATTCTGTAAACTGGCAGTAATATTGATTGAGAAGTTTTCCTGCGTACCAAATACAAGTGCCTGTACGATTAAATTGATTTATTTCACTCTTAGCCACAGTTCCGGTATATATATATATGTTTTCTTATTATATGGCACAGAATGCTTATTATATGGCGCGGCATAATTATTATATAACGCAGCATGCTTATTATATGGTGCGGCAAACTTATTATATGATGCGTCAAGGTTATTATATTGCGCAGCATGCTTATTATATGGCCTGGCATGCATATTATGTGGTGCAGCATACTTATATGTTGCAGCATACGTATTATATGGAACACATATTATATGGCATGGAATGCTTATTATATGGCACGAGATGCTTGTTATATGGTGTGACGTGTTTATTATAAGGTGCAACATACATATTCAATGGTAAGACGTGCTTATATTATGGCATGTAATGCTTATTATATGGCACGAGATTATTATATGGTGTGACATGCTTATTATATGGTGCAACATACATATTACATGGCAAGGCGTGCTTATATGGCATGTAATGCTTATTATATGATTCGAAATGCTTATTATATAGCACGGTATGCTTAATATATGGCACAGAGTTCTTATTATATGATGAGGCATGGTTATTATATGGTACGGAATGTTTATCATATAGCGCGACATAGTTATTATATGCTGCGATATGCTTATTATATTGTACGGTATGATTATTAGATGGTGCAGAATGCTTATTATATGGCGCAACATGTTTATTATATGGCACAGCATGTTATCATATGGAACACGTATTTATTATGCGGTTTATATGGCATGGTGTGTTTATTATATACCACGGCATGCTTATTATCTAATGCGACATGCTTATTATATGATGAGATATGCTTATTATGTTGTCAGGCCTGCTTATTATATTGTGTAGCATGTTTATTATATTGAACAGATACTTACTATATGTCATGGCGTGATTATTATATGGCACAGCATCCTTACTATGTTCTTGTATGCTTAATATATGATACGGCATGCTTAATATATGATACGGCATGCTTATTATATGACGCGGCATGCTTATTATTTGTTGCGAAATGCTTATTATATGATACAGTTTGCTTATTATATAGCGCGGTATGATTATTATATGGTCCAGCGTGTTTATTATATGGCGCAGTATGCTAATTATATAGCGTGGCGTGCTTATTATACAGCGCGGCATGCTTATAATATAGTACTTCATGCTTATTATATTGTGCGTAATGTTTAGTACATAGTACGACATGTTTATTATCTGGGCCGGCATAATTATTATATTGTGCGATATGCTTATTATATGGCACAGTATTCTTATTATAAGGCACGCCATGCTTATTGTATTATCAACAATTTAGATCTATAGTAAAATTACAAACAAACGCATATACTAACAAAATGTCGCTACTTCACCCAAATCTGTTAAAAATACTACCAAACAACTAACGTGAAGGATCTCATTCATGGGATTACGCAATACAATAGCAGATAATTTCTTAAATCAAACTGCAATTAAAAAATATAACTTCAACGAAACTACGACATAAACGCAATTATCACCGCCTCTAGTAATGATGTCCACACAACGATATATCGAGTTAATATGCCGTTAAATAGACAAATTCTTTAATCAGTCTTAGACGTAAAGGTAAGAACGTTGTGGAACTAAGGTAGATATTTTCTTTGAACATTTCCCTCGTAAATAACGATAGGTCAGCGAGAGATACGGGACATTTCGTCTGTGCGAAAGCGGTTGTAGAGTGTAAAATAATTTGTCATCCACAAAGAATCATAGAGAATTATAGACTGGAAAGTGAAGACTTTCGACTATCCATATATGTCAGCAATACTCCATTTAAAACCTGATCTGGCTCTTGTAAAGATAGAGCGTAAAACGAGGTGTCCGGTACCTACTAGAGCGGTACAGGCAACCGAGAATCATTTTAGCCTTTTAAGCGATGGATCGTATGTTTGGGTTAAATTCAAATAGGCACTGAAGGCACAAGGTCTGTCCGCGGAGACATAATGCAATCCTTTTCTAGCTGATCTCACAAAAACGTTGACATTCTTTGAACTGTTCTATATTATAATCTTCGAAGCATCAAATTCCTCTCTTAAAATCTTCTCGCTTAATGTAAGGCGATGCACTTCTTACTCTTTTATTTTTTTATAATAATTCCTCATCCAAGTTGCATAGCTGTTGTAAAATAAGGCGACGGCGTGTTGACATTAGGGGAGACGCTTTATCGAATGTCCTCTTAAGAATTACGCGTTAACAAGCAGAAAAAGGAAGAACTGAGTAATGAATATTAAGGCCATTCTTCAGAAACAGCTGCACTCAAGCTCTGGAATATAATGCATCAAGATATCGTCTTCAAAAGACACCAAATCTCACCAACTGCTGGTTCATCCGTCGCTTTTATTGACACGAGACGGTTGACAAAGCCCCGAGCTGTCCTGCTGCTAAAAGAAAAAACCCAATTGTGACTAGCTTCGACAGTCATGTCCGCACACGACTCGGCACCTCTTTTGCGGATTTACTAACACGTGGTCGCCATAATAGCCTTCAGCCATTTTGTTCCAAACGGTTTTATCGTATTCTTGAAAGATTTAACCTTTGCCTTTTGTTATGGTTCGGTTCCTTGTACCACGATGATAGTCCAAGGTAGAACCAATAAAGAAGAACTCGAACAGGTATATGGAATAACACAGATATATTACAAACAGGAATATATACAGAGCAGTAGAAAGTGTTAGTACGAACAATCAGGTTTAGTAGTAATTGTCTGAATGCGACTCTGTTTCGAACTGCCTCTGACTCGACTGACTGACTCGCTCGCTTTAACTGACTGACAGACTCCTGACGGACCTCACTCCAGACTTCAGACTGAACAGTATTTAGATACCCCGCCCCACGAGGGCATCATGTGGCACAAGGCCGGTTCAACGTGGGATCTCCTAGACCGTGGGCTCGGCCAAAAATATGCCGTTTGAACCCGTATACCTCCCCGAAAGAGAATCCGCCCTTCGGCGTAGCCTCGTTCGGGTTCCTCCCCGCCCGAAGGCAGAGAGTTCAACCGATCAGCCGGTCGCCCGACTTCGGACTGAACTCCCTGCTTCCTCTTGAGGCGCAGTATTTATTACGTATGGAATAGTCCATTATGTTATTATGGGTAAGGTCCCATAAAACCTTTGGTTACTCACGAATTAATATTGTATCTATCTTTAAATAATTTCACTCCAAACGAGACAATAATGTCACTAGGACGCAAGAGTCTAATGGGAGTCTGAAGAGAAAGGACAATAGAAGAACAGGGTTCACAAAGACAGAAGATGGCGATTGACGTTTCATTTAATTTTGTGAAGATTGTATAAAGTATGGAAGCAAGAAACCGGACTTCCAGAGGTTGAAATGTGGGAGAAAAGAAATTATTAGAATAGGGTTTACGATTACATCTAACTAGTTCAAAAATAAAACGAAGAAACCTACATGTTAATCTAATTAGCTGGCTTAAATTCACGACCGAGTAGGTGGGCACATTAAAACAACTTCCCCGAAAATATTTATAAAAAAGAAAGAAGGAAGCCGTGTTGGAATGGTGTGAAAGAGACTGATGTCGAGATGCTAGGTCAGGACCGATAACATTACACACACCTCTTTGAACTTTGTCGAGAATCTGAAAAATGTATAGCAAGAGAAGCAGACAAGATATGGTAGCAAATATTCAATGCGCAGATAAATGGTAGATTTGTAAATGTGCAAAAGAGAATTTCGGCAAGAAAAAAATTGTTTAGCAAGACATAGTTTTCTATTGTTTAATATGTAATCAGTTGCTAGCTCTACTGCTAAGAAGGTTGTTCTTAGCAGTAGAGCTAGCAACTGATTACATATTAAACAATAGAAACGTGTAACCAAGAAGGCTCAGTGAGTTGTTCCCCTTGAGGTTACCATCCGCCATATTGATGGAGAGCAAAAATGATTCACGATGATCATTAAAGGATAGTGGTATTGTGTTGGAGGTTTTGAAATAGTTAAAAGAGATTACTGCTCTGTATCTGAGTAGTAATCTCTCTTGAATACATGTTTTGTTACACAAGAATGTATTTTTCATTTTTTTATATTTTTTTTTATGCAAACAAGCATTTTCTTTTCTCGACTGATTGGACGGAGATATTGTCCAACCTTTGACCATTTTACTTAGTACGTTTTTACTAGTCATTTTTTTGGTTTCTTTCTATCTATCTATCTATCTATCTATCTATCTATCTATCTATCTATCTATCTCTGTCTTTTCCTTATATATTTATCTGTGACGGTTTCCGTTAAATCTGTCAAGTATCTCCCTCTCTATATATATCTGACTGTAATCCTTTACACACACACACGCACACACACACACACACACACACACACATATATATATATATATATATATATATATATATAGAGAGAGAGAGAGAGAGACCGAGGTCACCAGTGAGTGGCAACAATTTCTTTCAGGCTGTAACGCAATCTTCGTTTCTAAAGATTGGAGCTATGACCCCATGGATGCGATGTAAATGTTATATCTCAATTAGGACTTATTTGGATACACAGCGAATCCTGCCAAATTCTGTCCGCAACATACTTATGGAAAATATGAACACATCCACATACAAAGATCGATTAAAAATAATGGAAGAGTTAATAACGAAAAGGTCAAGCCTCAATAATAATAAATTATAAACACGGCCATTATGTGATGGCCGTGTTCGGAAATTAAAGTCATCCCTATTCCTATATGTATAATATATACATATTCAGCTAAATGAAAAAAAAACATCAATGATAAGGGATAATATATTATTCGAAAGCGCTCGGATCTACAGATAATTTTGGACAGTTTTTATATACTGTCAAAAAAAGACATCTATTTAATTCTTTTAAGAAAAGTAAAAAAAAAAAAAAAACAGGTGTCGACTTTTAGACACAGCTAATATGTATGTCTATTATATTTGTTAATCCTGCAGGTTCCCTGGTGGTGAACAGTGCTTTAATATCATCCAGCTAGGAGTCTCATCTAATTTATCTATATTAATGCTAAAGGCTTCTACTGTGTCTATGTGTATGCCCGATCAATTGCCCTCAAACGATGACACTTATCGCACCGAATGTTAACAGAAAGACTCACAAGGTATCCAAAAGTGACATTAGCTTTGACCTTGGTGGACATTGCAGATCAGCAGATGTCATTAAAGCTCACAGCATTCCATTTCTGCACAAATGAAGTAATTTCTTGCAGAATCGAGCGAGGTATTGATTTTACTATGTCGTATAAAATGCTTTTCGACCTTTCAGATCATTTGGAGGTCATTGCTCTGGATAGGGAAACAAACAGATGATAGGCTAATTCGAGCAATATTTTCATTCTGTTTTGAATGTTTCCAACGGATATATTTTTCTAATACTGTCCAAAGCGCTGCAAGTATAAACGTATTTTGAACACACGACGAAAACTAAGAATTCGCAAGAAATTCTAAATCATTCTCGAATTATTGAACACCACTCGATATTTTTTTAATAAAAATAGCTCAAGAGCCACTCAAGGTAGAGCGTTACTGAATGAGGTTGTTATAAGGTCGTAAAGGGAAGAAGTAAGAAGTATATATTACATTAGGGTATGTAGGATAGATAACGCTTGACCCTAAACTTGATGAGGTTAAGATCGTAGAGATCAGGGAAGAATTCGTTCAGAAGTCTGTTCCATAGTTCTGAAGAACCTGAATTGAACTTTCTCCTTACCAAGTGAATACAGGCGATATGAAGATGAGTCGTTGTACGGTGTACATGGCATAGTGTATCCTGGCTAGGAAGGTCTGAACTGGCGGAACTAAGAAATGTAACTTACCTTGTCATTTAGCATGAAAATAGAGATTTTGTCTGTGAGGAAGAGATTGTAGGGGAAATATTTCATCATCCACGGAAACGCGTAAAATTTTTTGACCTCTGTCTAAATAAAAATAGGAAGAAACAACATTTACCGGCCTGAATGTCCGGAGGACGAATATTTTCTATGAATATTTCTCGGACATTCAGGCCGGTAAACGTTGTTTAATACTGTTTATTATAAACAGAGCATTTACTTAAATATTTGTATCTATAAAAAGAATGTATAAACATAAAAATGTCTTAAAATAATTGTCGGAGATTGTCTATTTCATAATGTGTGACGTCATTTGTTTACATTTGATACACCATGAGCAGATATGTATGTACGTGAGAGATTCATGGAAGATTGAAGTTTAAAAGCAGTAAATTCGACCTTGCTAACCGAACGATCCTCTGTGGCCGAATCGGTTAAAATGCACGTCAGGCTATATGACGGTTCCGTATAGGATACAGGTTCGAATCCTGTCGGAGGACGAATATTTTCTAAGAAAATTTCTCGGACATTCAGGACGGTAAATGTTGTTTAATACTGTTTATTATAAACAGAGCATTTACTTATATATTTGCATCTATAAAAAGAATGTATAAACATAAAAATGTCTTAAAATAATTGTCGGACATTGTCCATTTACTAATGTGTGACTTGCTATCTATCTATCTCAAACCGTTCATTATCTATCTATCTAATTTTTAAAAAAAGTTATTGGAACTTACAACCATAGCAAATTGAAACACCGATTCTCGTACGATCCCGGAAATTAAGCAACATCGATTCTGGTCAGCAACTAGATGGGTGACCGCTAGGAATGCATGGTTCTTTAAGCTTCGATGTGCGTGTGATGTCATAGATAATGGCTGAGGATTAAAAATCGTAGAGCTGAGTTACAATTACAGTTGTGTTCATTACATTTATTTAGCGTACTAATGCCCTTGGAAACGGTATGAATGCACCTCTTCTCTCCTCCAAGCTATAGCTTAGTTATTAAAACTTTTATCAGTGAAAATCTTTATTATCTCTAGGAAAGTTCTTAGTATCTAGAAATATCTCCTGGCTTTAAATATGCTAAAGATTGATAATCCGTAAAAATCTAATCAATCAACAAAAAACTTTTAGAGACGTCATGTCTGCTCCAAAATATTATAATTAAGCATGGAAAGGATTCCACTAGAGCCAATGTTTCACTTGTTGAAAACGTAAAGCGACACATCCAATGATATATTGACAACTAGCCTAGAAGCCGCCCTTCGGACAGACTTTAAGCTAGCTACTTCAGAAGGATTTTGGGACTTTGGAAGTAATAAAATTATTTTATCTATATTCAACACCTTAATTCGGCATAATCTTTCTTCGTATACGCAACAGATCTCCTTAGTTTGTTTATATTTATTTTACAAGCAATTTTCAATTTCTTTTAAAATCATCATTCTTTATGATCCCGGCACATAAAGTCAGTTTTAAAAGACATTAGGGAACCCAAACTATGTAACATTTCGAATACGTCACATTCTAAAAAAAAAACCAAAACAAAAAAAAAAAAAAACCAACATACCTTCCCCCGCTTAAATTTTAATTACGGCTTAATTAGACGATATCAATTGCAATTGCGATGAAAATCGAAATGGAAGTTAAAACTGTTAATAAATAACTGCTTTTAAAACCTTTTACTCTGTTCGATATTTAAATTTAATCTTAAATGATTTATTTATTTAATTTTTAATCGCTTGTCACAACAGAAGTTATTACCTCTTACTTGTAGTTGTTTATGATTCCTCGAAATCGAAAAACGGACGGACGGACGCAGGTACACTGCACTTTATAGAGATTATTAGAATTTTACAGTTAAAATAGAGGTTGGAGTTACCGTATTCATGTCATAAAATCTACTGGCTACCTATTTTTTTGTGGGAAATAAATCAGGCCACAAATAATTTTTTTTTTAGATTTGATTCAGTTTTGAGTATCTGCCAAAAGTTTACGGGGTGGGCTAGAGGTTTTACGCATTTTACATGAAAATGAAATAGTTTATGATATATGGCATTTAACCATATACTATTCTTAGACCATAATTTCGAAAATGATCTTCTGAAACTATGTCATACATTATTAACCCAATTAATTATTATCTATTCACACAGTCTGTTTTTCGTGAATTTGCGATGTTTTCTTATGTTAACTGAAGCAAGTTTCATTGAATATTATTGACTTTATATGGGCACGTGGCCGAGTGGTTAGAACGCTTGCATTCGGAGACTCGGGTTCGAATCACATCATTGTTGATTTGTCAGGAAGGAGACTTCCTTATGTTATCGAACTGGAGGGGTCGATCCCAGCGTGTGGCACCTTTGGAAATTGCCTGAAAAGCATATCACGGGTTGACCTGAAATTGGGTAGACGTCGATAGCTGTGCTAGCACGAAGTCACAAGTCATCGTGGGTGAAGGCTTGAGTGTGCTGGCCTTGTTCAAATTGTTGATAACGCTAGATAACACGGTCTTTTCCATAAACTGTAACTAAGGTCTGCTCAGCATAGTTGCAGTATAAGCCACAGGTGGGCTCTGTGGGTGTTGAATAAAAATAAATGCTCCTGAGCAAGCGTCTGCAATAGGATTGGCTATTAGACGGGTATCCACGAATACGAGTAGCCAGATATAGATTTATATAGATAAAAAAAACATATGGTATATACCCGCGTATCATGCGACTTTTGAAGATCTAATTTTGAAGCTATTTTTATGCAGGTCATACACGAGATGCAACATTAGCGTATCTACTGCTGGCTCTGTGTAAGCCGTTGACCAAACTATATATTCATTTATGTAGCTGCATTTAGAATAAACACGATTTTCATAAATCTGATGTTTTACATAATTGTATCCAATAATAATGCATGTAGTAATCACATATTATAAAATACAAACAGCGAATATGCATCTTTTCCAT